CAGCATGTGTTGACCTTTTATATTCTATGGGTGATCATCATCAGTTGTTTACTTACAACACTAGCATTTTCGACATTTCTAATCCAACATGGAATTAATTGCTCATATAAAAAGAAAAGAAAACAATATTCAAAATTCAATTCAATTTGTTAAACGCCTACTTTTTTATAAGAATACATTTTTTTCTCTCTCTCTACACATTAACACCATTCTGCTGCTAATCGCTAACTCTTGTATATTCTCTCTATCTCATTCATGCATATATAAGAAAGCAGTAGTAGAGGTATGCAAGATTGTGAATGGCACTCAATAACCAGAGTGGGACCACGGTATATGTAATTTATTGAACTTCAATAGGTGAGGAAAAGTTGGGAGTTTCTTTTTTCTCATTCCTTTACATTCCCCGTGTGAAACACGCTTAAAGTCTTCCTGTGATAATCACAGATGGATTAGCTTGACTAATGTAGTATCTAAAGTCCTAGACTCAATAATCATGCGTAGACTAAGTGGTGCTCGGGAGGCACAAACACGCGAGAACCAGGCAGGCTTTAGACCAGGAAGAGGGTGTATTGATCATATCTTCATCCTCCAACAGATTCTAGAACATAGGCATTCCTACCGGCGTCCAACAGTCATTATATTTCTTGACCTAAAGGTGACATTTGATTCTGTCGACCGAGAGGTGCTCTGGCGATGCTTGGCTGTAAAGGGAATTCCGAGAAAATACATTGCACTGATTAAGGCACTCTACTCGTACTCATACAGCCGGGTGAGGGCTTACGGCGAGTTCTCATCTGAACTGGTGACGACTAGTGGTATCCGTCAAGGATGCCCATTATCCTCTTTTCTATTCAACTTCATCATATATGTACTAATGGACTTAAACCTAACTGCTGACTTCAGCGACTCAGGGATTGACTTGCTACCAGGGAATAATCTCGTTGACTTAGAATATGCAGACGATATAGTCCTTCTAGGCGAGGACGCTGACAAAATACAGCAGAGTCTTCTAAACACCTTGAGCCGCAGTCTACGAATGTTTGGCGTGCGATTCGCTCCCGCCAAATGCAAGATGATGTTACAGGACTGGACTACATCGACGCCTAGTTTAAAAATAGGAAGTGAAGTGGTAGAGCACGTTGACCGCTTCACTTATTGGGGAAGTACCATCAACCCCAACGGGTTGATCTCTGACGAAATCTCAGCTGAGTACGGATACAGAAAGCTAGTTTCGCATATTCCAGTTTACGCCGTCTCTGGCGCAGACGCGATATCCGGCTATCGACCAAAGGGCGGGTGAACTGCTTATCAGTCCGCTCCGTCCCCCTTTATGGCTGTGAGACCTGGCCTTTGAGAGTGGAAAACATGAAAAGATTAGCTGTCTTTGATCATAGGTGCCTGCGTTCTATGAAGTTACATAGACTGAGATGGTTAGGACATGTGTTACATATACGTAGTCATCGCCATCCTCGACAGTGGGCAATGTTAGCTGATATAGGGTCAGTCTGGAAAAGAGCTAGCGGCGGTCAAACCAAAACAGGGCTTCATTAGTCAATGAAATCTACAACAGTTTGTTTAAGCCAGCTACGTAGGAAGGTGTAGACTTCCTGACTGATTAAGGTCCTCAGGATGGTAAAAGCAAATGGTTGGAAACAATTGGTGATATAGCTCAAACTCATCGTTCTCAATGGCCAGCGCAGATGCATCCACTCCTTGTGACCTATGATTTCGAATGAAACTACATTGTTCTTCGCTACTTCTATTTCTTTGTTTCACACCTCTGTTTACTGTCTCTATTATGCATTTCTTCTGCTTTCTTCGCTTGCTTTGTGTGGTACATGGAAGGAGTGTGGTGACTTGAACTTGTGCACATCGGTGCAAAGTTCTATGTTAAAAGCAGACAGACAGACATAATGCCTCAGGCTTGAGGTTTGAAGTTTTTTGGAGGTGGTCGTGGTGTTATTTTATGCAAAGTTGAGATCACTAGCCTCACGCCAGACCTTCGCTTCTCACTAAACTTACTCACTACTGGGCTAAGTGAGATAAAGAATAGTGAGTCAGTCGAGAATTGAACCCGGGTTATATGAGATACGATTGGCGTGCATTCCTACCACTGAACCATAGACATGCAAAGTTGGAAGCCAATTTAATAGGATAAAACCTAGCCTTATAAATTTGTTGATGAAAAGCCGGAAGAGTATCCGGATGTCGATTAAAGGGCATGTGTGCTGCTCAGCAGTTGACTCTGTCCTCCCCCTTTATGGCTGTGAGTGAGACATCGTCCCTGAAAGTGGAAGACATGAAAAGCCAGATTAGCTAGTTGTCCCCCAGCATAGATGTCTGCGTTCTATCTGCTGTGTGAAGTGGTATAATAAGCTGGGAAAAATTGAGGTTAGGCTTCTATCGAGTGCTAGGTAGATGGGAAGGGAAATCAATCGACGAGGTTGTGAAGTTTATACCGATTGAGAGAGATGGTTAGGACATGTGTTACGCATACCACCGTGCAATCGATCGTCTTTCTCAACGGCAGGTTGGTTTTCAATGGTTCTCTAAATAATAAATAGTTGTTTATTTGCGTGACGTCATTGAACCGTAATCCATTATTATTATTATCTTGATTTTAATCTCTCAGATTTCCTTCCTCGTTATCTATCTGAGCTTGACCTGTAAAACATTCTCACCTATCATTTTGCATGACTGTAATTTGTTTAATAGACAGAAGACCAGTAGTTCAGCGAAGAGTCTCTTTTCAACCGACAATTCATTTTCATACCTGTACAATCGCAAATATATATATATATATATATATATATATATATATGGTTGTTTTGTATGTATGGGTGTGTGTACATTAAATTTGCCAAACGAAAATACAATTAGTAAGTTCAAATGAATTGGATGTTGGCATAAGAGGATAGTAACAAAAAGTGATGAGTTGTCACAAACGATTTCTGAAGAGGAGTTGCTAGTTTGCTACTGGTTTCATGGAAGAGTTATGCTCAGGGTGTACATGAAAACAAAATAACACAGAATTACGCAAGGGTTTTAAGTAGTTAGAAAAAAGAAACATACACACAAAAGTTAAGTCAAATCAACCGAGTTGTTGTCATGATAGTAGAAGTGGCTGAATAATGCATAGTTCCGGTTCTTCTAACTGAATGACTAGGGCTTCTGCAATGCAAACAAGACAGGTTGGCAGGTTGTTCTTCACTTTGTAGATTACTTTGAAGGAGGTGTTTGTTGAGATGGGATGACTAGTATTGACGAGAAGTTCGATTTTTGCACTCCTTATAAGGCCACTACTTCCTTTCTGCAGCCAGTCGGCCGCTGATCTGCAGAAGTCCAAAAGACAAGATCCCGCACCTGACCTATGTGTATTTATCAGTTCACCTGTTGCTGTGGAGCCATGTACATCGGTCGTTCAACGCGCAACCTGTCAAAAGGGGTCAAAGAACACTATCCAGCGTGGCTGCAAAATAGAAGTAGTGGCCTTACAAGGAGTGCGACAATCGAACATCTCGTCAACCAACACTGCTCATTCCATCTCAACAAACGCCTGCTTCAAAGTAATCTACAAAGTGAAGAACAACCTGCCAACCTGTCTTGTTTGCATTGCAGAAGCCCTAGTCATTCAGTTAGAAGAACCGGAACTATGCATTATTCAGCCACTTCTACTATCATGACAACAACTCGGTTGATTTGACTTAACTTTTGTGTGTATGTTTCTTTTTTCTAACTACTTAAAACCCTTGCGTAATTCTGTGTTATTTTGTTTCCATGTACACCCTGAGCATAACTATTCACGTTACTACGTAACTCTTCTTTGACAATCGTTTGTGACAACTCATCACTTTTGTTACTACCCTCTTATATCAACATCCAATTCATCTGAACTTACTAATTGTATTTTCGTTTGACTAATTTAATGTACACACACCCATACATACAAAACAACCACGTATATATTTATGATTGTACAGATATGAAAATGAATTCGCCGACGAAAAGAGACTCTTCGCTGAACTAACCAGTTTTCTGTCTATTAATGTTCGAATGGGAATTTTTCATGTAATTTGTTTACTTGCCAGCTATATATTGTTTTTGAATAAAGAAAGAATGAACAAACGAACGAGCGGGCGAGCGAACGAGCGAACATAATATGTATAAATTCACTCTGTCGTTCTTTCTTGTATTTTGTCTTTGGTCTATCACTGTCTTCAGGAAAAAGCTGAACTCTACCCCCCCCACCCCACCCGCTGTCTAATTGTTACATAAACAGTTACTCTTTTAAATATTGAATAATTCGTGTATTTACATCCATCCCTCTTTGGAATTATGTTGTCTATACTTTATATCTTTAACTCGAAGCCACCGTGGAAAAAGTCTGTACAGATATCATTTTTGTTCAGAATGTACGCAACCTGGTTGTATGAATTTATACACATTTCTCTCTCTCTCTCTCTCTCTCTCAATGTATTTCAAATAGTATTTAAATCATTCATTGTATGTAGAGTATTCTCAGCTGAAAGACTCCTACTAATATTCGATAAATCCATCGAAATCCTGCTTTATCGACAGCCTTCATGACTTGTTTAACATTCGTATCAGAAAATAAATATTCCCGACAGTAGTAGACTAGGCTTTAACTGATGTGTCAATTCCAGTCTGGTACAATAGTTAGTAACTGTCAGTATAATGTGAGATAGTTGCAGTGTAACAATAATCACAACAACAACAGCAAAAAAGAAACGCTAAGAAATAATGTGTTATGCAATACTCGTATAAAACTTTTCACTTTTAATCAATGATGATGGCAGGTAGAGATAGATAGACAGACCAATTGACCGGCAGATAGACAGACAAACAGACAGCCAACTCTAGACTACTATGCTGCTAAAGTATGAACATAACAAAATGATTGAGACAAAAACACATAAAGGCATATGTACACACACACACACATACATACACACATGCATAAACACACACATTCGACTTACATCTCTAATAAATTTCACATTTGAATTCGCTGGATAATTATCACGATCAGGAAGAGCTTGTTTTGATATCTCGGGTATATCACGTGTACGATAGAAACACTTAATAAATACTGAGAATTTATCACGTCGAGAGACTTTAATTTCTTCAATTAAACCAATTGTAAAATACTCGAAATCAGGTTCCTCATAATAGACAAAATCACCTTATTTATGAGGAGAGAGAAAGAAAGGATGATAATATATATTTTTTTTATTTAAAAAAAGGCGATATGAGTAGGAAATTTGGATTTAAAAAGTGAAAAATGAAATCTTACTCAAAAGCCAATCGCAGTTGGCAATGACTGTCTAAACGTTGCTCTGTAGGTGGATTAGGGCTCGAAACCATGACCCAGTTGTCGGAAGTCGGATACCTACATCGATGAGACGTACACCATACCCATTAACATCAGCTTTGTGCACTGATGGCTACAGTCAGATGAAAGAGATCGATATAATATTTACACTAGGCACATACACAAATGTGAAGTCAGTCACGGCTTCTATACGTTTCAGAAACTTGACACGCGCTTCACGAAAAGGATTTCCAACAGATTACAGACTATTATCCACAGCTGTCCACTCCCCTGGCTCCACACTGAAGATTAAGTAGCCAGGCGGTCAGAAGAATTGGCAACAAGAAACTCTTCAGTGGAACAAATCAACCATGAGCCGATCGCTCAACAAATATGTAAGAGAAAATGGAGATAGATAGGGCATACGTTGAGGAGGCCATCGAATTACATCGCGTGCAGTGCAGGCCATTACTCGAGTGGAATCCCAATGGGAAGTGACGAGTGGGTCATCAGTGTGAGGGTGACATGAAGGGAGGAGGTCATGTGGGGAGGGAGGAGATGACAGATTGTGGACGATCGTGGACCCAGCTGAAGAGGACAGCAGAAAATAGAACAAAGTGGAGATGTGTTGTTGAAGCCTTATGTTCCATTCGGAACCCAAGGGAGTAATAATAACAAGACAGATGTCCACAAATCGTTTACTATACACACTGCTTAAGTAGGTTATGAAATTTGTAAAAAATTATATTTGTAAAATCTCAGCGATATTGAAATGAGTAATTCCAATTTTTATATATAAACGTGTTATGTTAATTTCGATTAATTTCCCTGAAGAAGTTCGGACCAGATTGCCGAACGAAACGTTGGAATTACTCATTTCAATATCGCTGAGATTTTACAAATATAATTTTTTACAAATGTCTACTTCTCACTCGGCACCCAAATATTATAGAACTATTCTGTCAAATCTTGACTACAGTTCATTTGATTTAGGTTATGAAATGTTGCCTCAACGTTAGAGTAAAGAATTGTTCTATATCCAACTACTCTTACAAAGAAAATTGATCGATATTTTTCATCCCATATTATTTTGTTAGCTAGCTAGGGCAAGACGCAATAGTGTAATCTCTTGAGATGAACTATTCTTTATTTTTAAAACTGTACGATACACGAAAGTTATACGGGTCCCTAAAACGTATATGTATCGACGGTTAGTGTTGCAAATTTGTAATCATTTCTCTGGGAACCTATCGCCTAACAAGTATACCAAAGAAAATGGAAATAGACTGGATACATGTTAAGATGACCGCTGCGTGACATCACAACCCAAGCAAACAGTTAAGTGGATAGCTAATGAGAAAAGACGAGTTGGGTGTCTGAAAGTGACATGGAGATCGTATGAGGACAAATCAGAGCTGGTGAACGATCATAGAACCAGCTAAAAAAAGACTACAGAGAACAGATTGAAATTGGTATGTGTCGCTAAAGTCTAATATTCTACTCTAAACCCAAGGGAATAATGACAAATAATAATTCTCTAAAAACATGAGAAATGAGTTGAATGTCTGAAATTTATCTATCAAGTAGCAACAACTGAATTTAGATGGATTATATAATCATGATAGTTGAACATTACATTGTGAACTTGTTCAAAATCAACTACAAAGATGAAAGTCAGTTCTTTCATTAGCATTTAGTAACCCATCATTATATTTCGATTTTTCAATGGGAGAACACTAGTCGGCCACTCGAGATCCGCATTCGATTTGTTGCTAAGCCTTCCCTAATTTACAAGTCGGTAGTAAGTATGGAAAAGCGGGAACTTTGAGAATGAGGCTAACAATCCGTAAAAACAACATCAACGCTACTGAAACTTTCAAAACATTAAGTCGTATGTTCTATTCGATATGTAAGGAATGGAAACATACTACACAGAGAGACTTGAGCACCATACACAGTTTACGTATGAGCGAAACAAAACAACAGGAAATTCCAAATTTATACAATCGTTTTGTACATCAATAATTCAGATACAGTTGTAGGCCCTTGGCGTAAGTACTTGACTTCGAGTCAATGGGCTTCGGGTTCGAATCTCTCTATGTATTTCAGCCTGAGCGAATTGTTAGTATCACATTAAGTATGAGTCGAAGAACTGAATTCTAACCAACCCCAACTAACTGTAGTTCAAGCGACTAAACTATTGAATTATTAATTCAAGTCCACTCTACCTATTTCATATTAATAAAGTATTGGTTATTAGAAAACCTTGCAAAATATTTAGCGTAAGGTTGGACAATGTTAATGAGTAGTAACATGCAAATTTAGATTATCCGTATTCTTACAAATACACCTATAAAACCATAAATTACAGAGATATTAAGGTAACAAAAAGTAACCTATATTGTTGAATTACACATCACAAGTACATCACTAATCGACACCGAAATTTTCTTCTACAATCTGCGATTCCGCAATCATCAACGAAAGCCCTTCAATTCCTAAATATCCAGGCAGTATTCATATGTTTGACTAGATAAATACAATAAATTTAGCAACATTTGTGTAAAAATAACACGTTACAAGAATCAAAAGTTATATAAACAACAAACCTGTACGATATTCAACGCCAGAGACAATACAAGAAGGGACATGATCGTCTGATGAGCCATCATTGTTATTATTGTTACTGTTGTTGTTATTATGAACATTACTAGGTCTTCCTTTACCACGTTTACTACGTCGTAAAGCCGGTTCCATATCTTCAGTATTTATTTCCACCGGTCGTTCCTCAGTAGCTAATTTATCAGTTCGAAAGACATTGCTACTGTTGTTATTGCTGTTGTTGTTAGTATTAGTACTACTTTGATTGGTAGTTGAACTCATTTTAGAACATTGACTTGATATTGAATCAGGACTTTTTGCAGATGCAATATCTAATTTATCCATAGAACAAGGAGAAGGGGTAATATCACTTTTTAATAGCACAGAGGAACCGTCATCCATCATAGTATGACGATCATTTTGTAAAGTGGCTATAATAAGAAAATTTAGACAAAAAAAATTTTAACTGGTTAAGGCCTGTTAAGACAAAATTTAAAATTGTTGTAATTCAACGAAAAGACTGAAATAACGTTCGAGAAGTATGCATCAAGAATCTTATTTAGTACATGATGCCAAACACTGTAAGATGCTAATAAGTCCTCCCGCAAAGGGCTAGTTGTCACTGACCACAAAAGTTTGCGTTCTATCTCCGCAGCTAAGTGGTTTAATATAATCAGCAATTTTAGGCTAGACGTAGTGATGGGTCAGCCGATGAAGTTGGGAAGCTACAACAATTGAGATGGCCAAGACACGTGTTACGCATGCCAAGTCACGGCTCTCCTTGTCGGAGAATGTTAGCTGACATGCGACTAGGTTGGAAAAGAGTTAGGGGTAACCAAACCAAAGCCTGTTGTTAATCCATATAGACACTGGCAGTTGGTTTGTGCCACGTAGACTGCCTGATCAGGGTCCTTAGAATGTTAAGAACCAATGGCTGGAGACTACCGGTGATATAGTTCAATGGCGCACATGCATTCACTCACTGTGATCTCCCATATGCATTAAAAACTCATGTTTCCCCATAATGCTTTTTTTTCTCCCTGACATATCTGCTCATTATAGTCCTTTCGATTTTTTTTCCCTATTTCTATTTGCTATATGCTAAGGAGTGACAACTTGAACTACTGCAGTTGCGTGCAAAGTTCAAAGTTAAAAAACCCAGTCGGTCATATAAGATGTAGGCTATACAAATCAACTTCAAGAAGTATTTGACTCTTTCCATTTGCAACTTTAATTCTTGTTGATAAATCTTCCGCACGCGAAAAGAGCTTTGATTTATGTACTTATTACTACAGCAAGCCTTTGGAAACAAGTATTTAGTTACTAACAATACACCTAAAAACACTATTGAGTCTTATATGAGAGATAACTCTCTAGTTTTAACTTGCAAATGTTATATCCACAGTCTAAGAATTTTAAGTTCGTAAAGCCTATCTTCGACAGTGAGACAGATGTCAAGACCATACCAAATATATCACTCTATATTTATCTTGAAATATAACATTAACTGCAGTAGAATGAGTGTCACATATATTAAAGATCTTTACTGTTTGACATAAACTGGCCTCTTTCTATTCCTTCACGTTCCCGGTGGAACATAGGGCTTCAAGCTAGAGGCTTGAAGTTTCTGTAGCAGCGTTTATTTTTATAGGATGGGGTTGCTAGCTTCATGCCCAACCTTTTCCTCTTTGTCTTCTTTTATTTCTGGCTTAGCGAGGTAAAGGAGTGCGTCGGCCAGGGATCGAACCCGAACCATATCCATGGTCGGCGAGCGTCCTAACCGCTATGCCACCAAGGCAAACTGGCCTTAGCCTACCTAATAAATGAGTCTAAAAAATATTGGCGAAGGAAACATATGGGAGATTTAAATTTGTCATTCGGGTACCCAACCATAGTAGTGTCCACTTTTACTGCTCCCATTAGCCAATTAAAAGCACATTAATGGAGGCAAATCTCCGCCGGACCTTTATAGACTGATGTGAAACGTTACTCAACAACCACTTGCAATCCTATGTAGTTGACACAGAGCCATATATGTTGTGACAGCTATTGATACTATATTTTTGCTCAAACCTCGATAGGTGGAGCAGGATTCGAACCCGTGAACACCACTCCCGATTCACAGAGGACAGCTAAATATTTTATCTTGCTATCCAGTTGGCTGACCATTGGATATGGTTACGACCAAAGAAAACTCGACAAACATTAATTTAAAGCGAGAAATTACACAGAAACAAACTAAAGTACTAAGCATCTTGAAATAATAACACATCCACACAATAGGTATGCCTTTTCGGCGTAGTAGTAGCGGATGCCCGGCGCTCTCCACCGAGTTGACTGTCCATTGGATGACGGTCTAGGGGAGATGGCTAAACCCTGATTCCAAACCTCCAACGACTGGCGTATGAAGCTCACTGGAGCTCACCGGCAGACGTATGGACAAAGGGCTTGTTGGATGTCCTGGATGTCTGGCCCCATTCAAAAAGGCGTATGAACCGAACTCCGGTCACCGGCTGCCAATGGATAGTGGACTCCTTACTCCACTCCTACTGCCTTGTAGGTCACACTTGGCTGTGTAAAGGCTAGAGCTGCACTCTCAAACAAAAGGCCGAGCGATGCTGGGGACATCACTCGTACCAAATTCCCATGAAACTTCATGAACTCTCTTACAAATTGCCGCGCCTGGGCAGCGATGATTCGAGACGTTCATGAAGCCGGCTCATCCTCCCGTAGGAGATAGCCGAAGTAAAGTAAAGTAAAGTAAGTAAGTAAAGTAGTAGACTTTGAGCTATACTGTTTGACTGTGAAGCTTTCAGTTTTCTTTTAGATAACATTCTCAGTACCGTCATTTTTAAAGCTCCACAATCAAACTTGCCGATCTGTGAGAGACCCTTTACGACTAGTAACCATTAAAAATACTCAGTGAGACACTACATGCAATCTACTGCTCAATATTTAGGTAATATAGATGTAAGTTAAAACAACCTGGTGAACGATGCATACCTCTGAATTCCTGGATACTCCTGTATGCGTCAAGTGCTTGTCTATGAGGTTAGAAAACGCGACAATTAGCGCCGTTAGTATACTATGCAGTCTCTAATTTCACCATTTTGACTACAACAACAGCTGAGATCACGAGGTGTTAATAGGTTCCGGTAACTACTTCTGTAGACCCTACCACTTCAAACAGGTCTGTCAGTTGACATGACTGACTTATACATCTTGTGATAAGCAACTAAGACAGTGCACCATTGATGGCTGAAACCCGTTTCCACAGAAACATCAGTAAGCCATCTATGTGAACCTTCCATTACCAAAAGAATAGGTTGGTAAATATCAACCTCAAACACTTAGTGCTAAAAATTGACTAGTGGCTATCTGCCATCAGAGGTCAAGTTTTGTGTGGGAGGCCAACTAGACTTTTTATACACTAAATCCTGGCTACATAAATCTTCCGTTGTCTGACACCATCATAAAAAGTACTAGAAAACTGTCACACAAAATGCAACCACAAAACCATGTATTTGACTTGTTTTTTCTACATGATTAACTGACACAATAGACTTATCATAATTTGTTGGTAGTGGTTCATGATGAACTTTAGTCTTTCCAGGTTCGGTACGTGTCTTTAACACTTAGTATCTACCAATGGTGAAAACTATAAGTAAATCTATAAAAACGAGTGACTACATAGTAGCCAGGTGTCATCATGTGATTTAGTCAATAGACTTCTATAGTCCAAGGATAAAACAGTAAGTATCCACTTGGTTTTTGGAGTATTACAAGTGTATATCTGAATATTACGTTTGTTAGTTGGATTTGAAACTGCTCGAGATACAAGAGACCAAACACTTATGATTAACTTTTAAGAGCATTTAAGTGCTACAAAAAAACAAACGCAAATGCTCGAACCACCCTGCGGTAAAAGCTGTTATTAAGAGGAAGTAATCATCGTCCTCATAACAAATGACAAACCAATGTCCACAGCTAGTGGGTTTTTTTTCAAAAAAAATGACAACAATTACAGCAGTTACAGATAATACTTTGGATTACACCATGTATTCTGTCGAACGACAGCACACCACGGTTGCCGTTGCGAATTAAATTAAAAACAGAATGGTCTCCTTGTTTTGCTTCGCTATCATATCTCTCAGAACACCCTAGTTGTGCATATGATGCAGCATATGCCGGAAATCCGGCATCTGTACAAGTCTATATAGATTTGTACGGTTAGTCGATATACTCAGTTACTATTATTTCACAATAATAATGGCAACATATCCACTTGTAAACTTCTTCTGGACGCTGACAGCAGCAGAAGAGAACAGCATTAAACCATTAGGCCATAAAAACCATTGTGACAAAATTACCAAGATAATTATTTTACTGTGGTTAACTGGACCGCGCACATCCATCTATAATGTTAAACAAGATGTTGAAAAAGTAGCGCATAAAAGTATTTTATAAGCGCCTAAGTAGGCCGTATATTTCTTCGCACTTATTTTTGATAAAGAAGGAGACTTTAGGGTTACTAGGGGCTTCCGACTTAAAAGTGAAAATCTGACTTAATGCGTGAGCGGATTGTTTGATAAAAATTGGAGTTTTCAAGTTTTTCCGTCGCTTTCGTAACCACGAAAACCATTATCGTAGTTTAACTAATATACTCCATCCGGTAAAGCTACAGTTTTGCTCGATTTTATAATAATAACGTTTCTTTCCTATCATTTTATTCATCACAGTCTGTTCAATGCTTTAATATGGAACACATGACAACTTATTTCTTGCAGAAATTATTGCATGTGAAATCATCAGTAAGTGATTAAGTCTTGTATTCTGTTGGATGTGCACATTTCGTTGCTCCCTGGAGTCCTACCTGGTCAATGGAAATTGTGGACTACCCTTCAAAATAACGAGATGCTTCGTAGATAATGTGACTTGGAAAGCTGAAGTTCTTCCGACCTCTGAAGACAGATTTGAGAATTTCATAGATTTTGTTACGTTAACATTGTCCCCAGAAAAATTGAATTCAAGGACTGCTTGACGAAAGAGGGAAGTGTCTCTCTAAATTTTTGGCAGTGGCTACAATGCGGACAAAGCAAGTCCTTCTCACATCCCAGATAAATTTATAAATGATTTACACCGCTCACTCATTGGTGATGGAGAAACTATTGTTTTTCACTCGGTCGCGCTAAAGAAAATGGGAAAAAACTGTGAGTTTAAGCAGTTAGCAAGCAAGTAGGTGCTAGTTCACGTGACGGATGTTGCGGTAAAATTGATTGCGTGGGATGGAATGCGAGAGTCAGAAATAACATGTAACCAGCGAATTAATCCCACCAAGATAGTCGTGTGGCTTGGGATATGAAAGAGTTATGTTTAAAAAAGACACCGGGTAGTCATCCGTGAAATCATACAAATAGCAAGAACAGACACTGATGTCAGTTTGGATCACTGCAGACTTCAGTAGTTAGTATTCATACATAGTCACAACGAGCACCTTCCCATATAGGTGTCAATGTATTTGAAGATCGAACGATCAATTCATGGCTGTTTGCTCAAACCCAACTCTATATTTTGACGGGAGTCATCATTCTGCCAGTCATCGTCTCATCGTTCTCTGTTCAGAATGCAGCTGGAAAAAACTGTGAGAGACCTTAGTTTATTATGCTGGTTATATATTGGTGTCAGAATAAAGAATTCTCGAGTAGCGAATCGGTGTTCTGGTTTTTGCGTCCGTTAGTACTAAGCGTTTCTGAAAGGCTTCAAGAGACAGCGTGAGGCCCGGCTTAACAAGTGCGGAGCATTAACAGTTTTTGAGACGTGATTAACACTTTCTGACAGCTTTCGACAGTTGGTGACAGTTTCTTACAGTTTGGATAGCCTCCGCCCGTCATTCCTGGTGCCGGCCAAGTCTTCTTCGAACAAGCGTCATTTGGAACTTTCTGGAATTTTGGTTACGTTCACTGATGCCTAAGTCATAGAAGGGACAGATCGTCTTAGAAGCGAACAGGAAAGTAAGTCATGGTGCCTTGTCTGTAACTTGTAACGATGTGTTTGATGCTCAGCATGATGAGTTTGCTGTTCATGTTTCGCAGCCTAGGGATAAAAGGTTTGAATTCGAACCAGGGTGTTTCGAAGGAAACCCAGCCGACTATTTACAGTTTGTAAGAGAGTTTTAAATCATGTTAAGTAGTTTTTTATTAAGTGATGAAATGAAGTTAATGTATTTTAAATAAATAAATAAATTTATTCTCATGATACGGTACATGAGGGACGCCAGTTTACAGGCATCATCAAATTGTTACAGAAATAGGATCATATTATTTAGTCACAATTTACAGTCGATAGCAAAATATGTTTAACATGTACACTGGAGATTATACATACACTTGATAAATTTTAATCCGAATAGTATAAAACATCCTTTTCACTTATGTACAATCGTTTCTGTGCATAGTTGGAAAAATCCGCTAGATTTTCAGTGAGTGTGACACATCAGAAAATACAGAAGTATTGTCTTCGCATTAACAAAAAAACCAGGTCTTTGGTGGATGGGTTATAAGTGCCTGGGAAAAAAATAAAGCTTGAAGTCAGTTTTCGTACAATAATAATAATAATGTATATTCTCATATAAACATATAAATTTACATGAAAATGCATGCCATTTTTACAGGCACCATCAAGTATGATATAATATCAAATCGTAGATTGTCTACAAGTTAATAATGTTTCAACAGTTAAATATTTGATATATATATAAATACACATTGTCTGAACTAGGCTGTATAGTTATTGAATTGTACAATTGTCCTCTAGGTTGAGCGGGAAAATCGACTTCGTTTCGTTTTCATCCCGTGGTTGTCGGCATACGATAACCAACCAATATTGAGGTAAGTACAACGTTTACAACGGATTGAAAGCTGTTTTAGAAAAGTAAAAGTGCTGAGGTGAATCATTAAATTGTAATGAAATGGGTAAGTGCAAGTGTCATTAATAAATGCATTAAAAAAAGAAAACTCCCTAGGCTGACAACGTTCATTTGCAATGTATAATGCAACACATATACCTCGTACTATCATGATGTCCAATTTTGGTTTTAATACATTTATCCTCAGTTGTGCCAGTTGTTTTTGTTTTATACCTTTTTGTGCATTTAATGTACAACCGTACCCTTCAGAGAGTAGGAATATAATAAGTCATAAAGAGCTGTAAAATGTTAGGTTTAATGGAATATAATGAGGATCAAGTAAAGACGTTATTGGAAAATAAATGAGATAAGACATTGTGAAGTGGTATTTAAAGATCAGTCAATGGAGAGCAAGTTAGTTTATAAGATGCCCCATAAAACTGTGCACATCCCACATGGTCGCATCTCAACAATAGGCTGGGCGAATAGTATATATTTAGAGGTAGAAGCATTATCTGTCAAGGCGTTCATTATTATCTTTTTCAAGATAAAGATCTAAGCCCTCATAAAAATCAGAAATATCTCGAGCCTTTAATTTGTGTATTGCTGTTCCTGCAGAATGGGGCGATTCACCTAAGTGACCCCCACCATATCTACTGATCAGCTACTTTGTTGTGTGCAGAGTCCTTGAATTATAGTTCATTGATGTGTTATTTTGAAATCAGTGATATGTTTATCTCATTTGATCTGCAATGTCATTGTTGGGAGTAAAATACATAAGCTTTAGACGCATTAATTAATGGATTTCTACTGCTTGTGGGTATTTACTTCTCGTGAGGAAGGTTTTTGAATTTTAGTTGTTACGACATGAGTTGTGGATATTGACTGCTCAGCAACATTACGGATATAAGTTCATCACATTATCTCAGGAATATTGGGTTGTAGTTGGTGAGGCATATATGATGTCCGACGAGCGTACATCTGTCCATGTGATGTTGTGGTGAGTTCTATCTTTTTCACGTTGTCGGTTTATGTCCATTTTATTCCACTTATTGTGTTGGGTAGAAGTTTTACAAACGAAACTTCTTGTCTTTTTGAGGGTAAGTATCTTAATCGTTAATGTTTTATCTAAAATTATAAATACAGGCAAAAACAACAGGTGTAGTATTTGAGCTTATACATTAAATGGACCTATAATTTCGGAGGCTCTCAGATAGGAACTAGGACTACTGTCGTTTGCAAACTCGTGTAGTTTGTCGTTAAGCACTTTTTTGAATGAGGCCAATGTACCTACTTGACGCATTTCCATTGGTAGTTTATTCCATATCTGTGCATACCTAATCAAATAAAACTTTTGCCTGGTAGCTGTTTTACATTGTTCGATAGCTACTGTACCCTTGGTGTGTCTTGGTTTGTAGCCTCTGTCATCTGAAAGTCAAATACCATTAGCAGAGGTAAAAACTAAGTGGATTAGAAGCTTATAGTAAAGTGTTAAGTTTAGTCTCAGGCGTTTTAGCCATAGTGTTTCTAATCCTAGGGTGTCACATCTAGTGGAGTAGTTCGCATCATTTTCGGTTCCGAGTAATTTTGACGTGAAGTACCTCTGCACTCCCTCGACTTTCAATTTGTCCTCAATGCGTATACTACTATACATGAATGAACAGTAATCAAATAAAGGACGCACACAAACCTTGTACAACAGAATTCTGGACTCATTTCTGTAAAAGTTCCTGAGTAGAAAGCCGATAAGTCTGCGTGACCTTGACACTTGTTTGGAGATATGTTCAGAAAATGATAAGTCATGTGAGTATTTCAGTCCTAGGTCCAATACAGATTCCAGTCGTAAAAGTTCATGGCCTTGAATTGTCATGTCAAGTTCTAAATTGTTGCAACCTATGCAGAGCCAGCCACATTTGTCGACATTAAACTGGAGTTGCCAGGTGTCACACCATCTGTCCATTTTTTTTAATTCTTGCTGTATGGCGTTTACTGTTATTCCGAGATCTGTGTTCTTGCATTTATAGGTCACTTTTAAGTCATCTGCATATAGTATTGGTTTACCAACACTAAAGCATTCACAGATACTGTTTATATATATTATGAATAGGAGTGGGCCTAATACACTTCCCTGGATTACACCACTACTTACTGGTTTAGGCCTTGAGATTATCGAGCCAACTTTCGTTATCTGACTTCGGCCACAGAGAAATGATTTTATCCAGCTCAGGAGGGGGTCACATATCCCTAGTGAGCATAACCTGCTGACTAGCAGATTATGGGGGACTCTATCGAAGGCTTTTGTTATATCGAAATATAGCACAATTACTAGTTCTCTGTCGTCCCTGCTTCGTGTAACTTCGTTGAAAAAGTCTATGTGACAGGTCACACATGATCTCTTTTTGAGGAATCCGTGTTTTGATGGATTGATAAGTTCATGTTCTAGTAAGTTGTCTGACACTTGGTCTTTAACCACTTTCTCCATTATTCGTGATATTACCGGTGTTACATTAA